AATATCACCAACTATGTTTAAGTGCACAACCTAGAGCAGTTCAAACTACTAAACATCAATGTCAAACTTAAACACTTTTGAGGAAGTGCACTGCCTGGGCAATGGCCTTCTGCTGCTCAAGGACCCTGCCAATCATGGCCTGCTGAGATCTGCGTCTGGTTGGACATTCTGTCTTGAGAGAGTGTTCAGGTAGATTCAGAAAAAAAATGTATTTACACATTTATTATCATGATGATGATGATCATCATCATCATCATCATTATAATCTTCATCAATGTATCATTTGGCTGTGTGTGTAGGGGGGGGTATCGGAGTAGCTCAAATGAAATATCTTAATTTAATGATTTGTTATTAATATAAATAAATTACATGTCACACACAATCAGGAGGAAAGAAACCTACTCACCTATTACCAAGAGGAGTCTGTGCCCGAAGCACTGCAGCCTCATCCACCTACTGACTTCAGCCGTAAGCCTTCCGTTTGAGACATTGTCTGTGGTGACACAGAAGAGGTTCTCATCCTTTCAATCCCATGCCACCATCGCTTTCTTCAGGCCAATGGCGATGTTTTGCCCTGTGTGGTCTTCTCGGAAAATGCTGACATCTTCACGGTGAAAACCGCGCTAATATAATGTAGCGTAGGCCTGTTCGATTAATCGGTTTTAAATCTTAATCGCAATTATTTAGTTAGGACGATGTTAAAAAACGTGAAAATCATAAAAACGATTTTTCATTTTAACTAGGGTAATTAAGTACAGCTACCATTCATGTATCTGGGCTGCGCTGTGTTGCCGTAGTGACTTCCGCCTCCGTCCTCCACACACTGTAAACAAACACGTCGGCGTTGGATTTTTGTTGCCAAGAGGAAGAGCAAGTCCGTTGTGTCGAAGTGGTACGGCTTCGACGCTTCGGGTGGAGAGCAAAATACCCCGCTTTGTAAAGTCTGTGGCACTTAAAAACCATAGCACGGCTAACCTACTTCAACACCTCCAGAAAAACCACATACCGGAATGGCAGCAGTGTGTTGCAGAGTGGACCGCACAAGAGAACGTGGATGCGGCTACACCACCACCAACTCCGAAGCAAGTAACTCTGCCAGTTTCGTTTTCACGTGGTGTACCATATGACAAGACTGAAAGGAGGTGGAAAAATATTATGGATGCAGTCGCGTTTCACATCGCAGTAGACATGGCCCCGATATACACATTAGAAAAGGCTGGCTTCCAACATTTGCCTCATATGCTGGACCCCGCTACAAGCTGCCAGGCCAATGGGGAAATTATTTGCAAAATGTTCAATCAAAAAATTGCATATTTGAAATAAAATCGTAATCGTAAATCGGGTTTTGAGAGAAGAAAATCAGGATTTTATTTTTGGGCAAAATCGAACAGCCCTAATGTAGCGTGAGGCTTATATTGGGCTCAAAGTATGGCTTGGCCACAGGTCCGTAGTCGCAGCAAAATATCCCGCCATTGCATCTCTTGCAACTCTCTCACGACATTCCTGAAATAGTGCAGGCAGTGTACCTGCTTAAATGGTGATGCTTGTCCAAAGTATTAACCAATTTCTTGAACCCCAGGTTCCTAACAGTATTGATGGACACAAGTCTTTGGCTTGCATGAATGTGATGGCATCTGTGATTTCTTGATGTCTCCGGTAGATGGGTAGATAAGCTGTTGCATTATAAAGAGTGCCCTTAATGGATTACTGTGTTGTGGTGGCAGGAGTCAATGCTCTAGACTGTCATGGACATTGTACCTCTTTATAAGTCATTTATAAAACAACCTGGACTTTTAATTGTTTAACTCATAGTTTTTATTCTGTTTTTAACTTGTAGTCCTTTTAGCCGGTAATAAATTAACCTATTGGGTAAAGCTCCCTGAGCTGTACCAGCAGAAAACCTTTAGAAAAGCTATTGTATAGAAATCAGTGTTATAATGTATAAGCTAAAAGTACATACCACAAGTCAAGTAAAATCACATTTATAAAAATATGTTAAGTGTGGATTATTTCATGGAGGTTAACGGAATGGATTTCCACTTAACTTGGTGGAATGATGTGGTATGAGTCAGAGAAGAATGTATTAAATATTAGTGTGAATCCGGATCAGGGGACAGATCCAGGAATTTTTTATCATCAATTTCTGTAACATTGCGATATTTTTTCCCCAAGTTCTTAAAGTAGATTAAATCTTCACCAGCACTGAGTGATGAAAATTTTTAAACACATTTTAAACTTTATTGCTCTAGGAAAATGTGCTACCACTGGGAGAGCGCCCACTCCTGGTCAGAGTGGGTGTCCACTACAAGTTCAGCAAATTGCTGGTGGACAGAGTGGAGGCGGTGGACGGCACCTATGACGTTCTGTTCATCGGCACAGGTAGAGTGTGTGCAATGGACTCTTTCTCTAAGTTTCCAAAGGTTTAGGTTTGTGCTTTAACCCTGAGGTGAAAGTTGTGTTTTTTTGCTGCAGACTCTGGTCTGGTGCTGAAAGCCATCCATCTGCCCCGAGAACACGGTCAGAGTCATGAGGTCACTCTGGAGCAGCTCCAGGTCTTTCAGGTACAACAAACAAACACAGTGTTGTACCAGAGATTTTACTGCAAACCACTGTATCATTGTTTCTGTACAATCTGAACATTAACTCACAGACATTTGAAACATGCACTTATTTTTTATCAGTTAGACTATCAAGTATTAATGCAGAGTAGACTTCAAGTCAGTCTGTATTCAAAANCTTCTAATCCCGGGCCTTTGTTGGTGAAAATAGGACTTAATTGTGTGGTGTGAATGAAGCTTTAAAGTCTTAAATCTTCAAGACATTTGTCTTCCCATGCCTACAAAAATGTAGATCAGACAATTTTCTTTCAGTAACAAAAAGGTGAACCAGTGTCAATCTTCACTGTGTGATATATTCTGTCCATGTTTGTCTCTGTTCAGCCATTTAGATTTCTGTGCAACTCAATAAAAAAAAAATTCTGATGTGGGTAAGTACTAAACTTCTACTTTGACCATGTAGAGGCTGCAGTGTCAAACAAGACAACTCACATTTCTACCAAACTTGAAGTGCCAAACAGAACTGTTTACTGCACAAATGACAGCACATCAGATCCAGACTTCCTGCTAGAACACTGACTTGTCAGACTTGCAGTTTTATGATAGAATGGATGATTCACAAGGCCGATGCCTTGTCCAATGGCATGCTAACTTTTAGATTTACTTTTACAGAAACGGTTTAGATATTATTTGTTGTGTTTGATGGATAGTACGCTAATAGCTCTTTATTAATTGAAAGCACAATATTCAGTCAACATAGATCGTGTTACTTTTGACATCATCACAGTGTGTAAATCTACACCCTGAGCCGCTGCTCTTTCTATAGCAAAAGTATTCAGAGAAGTTCAAGATAGTGAACATTTCTTCAGGCAAAGGTCTGGAACATATCAAATTCAAACTAGCATTAACATCCAAATTAAATAAAGTATAAGCATTAACAACAGGCCTCCATACTGCTCGTGTGGTGTCATCCAAGTGTATGCAAACCCTGACAATTATATTTGACTCGAAACAAATAATAAACTAAATGTCCTCTGATAGCCTCCTTGGAGGTGCGTTGTTTACCCCTGAGACAAGTGTTTTGTGGGCTCAAACATTTTATACATTTTGTGGGGACAATATTATGTATTGTTCCAGAAATTATTACAATAAATTACACTTTTAATTCTTAACAATATTCAGTCTCACTTCAAATTAGAACAAAAACTCTTCAATTTAATAAAACATTAATAAAACAAACACATACAACCAAAACAATAAATAAAATCGATTCTCTTGCTCCTCCCTACAAGAATTGCTCTTAAATAAATATTATTTGGCACAGGATATATGTTATCAGCTCGGTAAACTGCATGGGAATGTTATGATTTAGGTTTGTATTACATTAGGTTGGTATTCCATGTTTCCTCTTTGATTATGTGTGCGTGTGTGTGGGTGGTCATCTCTGTTGCTCATCACACATAAACTGACCATCACATTTATTGTGTTAGTAAATGATGGTGTTGGATCATAAATCCAGGTCGTTCCAGTCACTTTAACCCTGATGTCCTGGCTGTGTGAATCTTGTGTTGAGTGTGGCAAGTGAACTGTGTGTGCACAAAATGTTGGGATGTTTAAGTGCATGTGTCTTGCTGTGGCTCAGTAACAGCAGGTCACTTTTTCAGTTCTAGAAAGAAAGCTGAACCCAGCATTACTACAGGCCAAGCAAACAAATGCATTAACAATAATAATAATAACTTACCTTAGTCTTCTTGTAGTCACAGAGGAACTCGACCTCATACTCATTGACGTTGGCTCTGTTCACCCCAAGCTGTTTACAGTGGAGCCTCTCAGTGCGACATAGAGCCTCCAGCTCGTCCCAGGACATCTTACACGACACTCTGCAATCTGAGACAGCAACTCTCTTTAACCAAGTTTGTGTCAAATGCACTGTGGCTACAGCAAAATCCACTCTGTAGGCTTTTGGTTTAAACTGACACTGTTCACTGCTGGGACTACACTGTATGGATGCATTGTTTAATTCAGCATACATATTACCTAGAGAAGAAACAGTTATCTCAATAAAATCCAATTTCAATGTGTTAAGACTTTTTTTCTTTTCTGAGTCAACAGTTTCAAGCAGACGCCTCACTGAACTAAGAATGACGAGTCCAAATCCAAAAAATATACATTTTTTGAATCTAAAATTAAGAAAATTATTTTTAATTAGTGTGGTGATTTCAAATCAACAGAAAGTACTGCCTTTTGATTTTATAGAAATACTCACAAGGGGCTGGAACCATGTAATGAAAGTGAATGGGAGGCATATATTTTTTACTTCTACGTTTCTGCATATTGTCGTGGACAGCTGGACTGGACGCCCATCATATACTCACTTTCGTCTGTGTGTCTTTCTCTCTCACTTCATATGTATATCTCTCACTGCGATACTGCACGGTCAGGATGTGACACTACTACTCTATTATTACTAATGGTAGTATTGGTGCTGCAAAAAATATAACGTATGACATTATTACCTCCTAAAGTATCACTGTGGTTATTATTGATGTAACACATATAACATATAGCACCATTTAAACATGTATATGGCGCTGCAGGGCGCGTGGAGGTTGTCGGGTATAGTTTTGCCCGCTTACACACATTAGTCTGCTCCTACACTGATGAACCGACTTCACTAACTCGACCCTTCAGTCTTCCTCAGTTACTTCGCATGCTGCTAGCAATGGTCCGAACAAAAGGCGGAGAGTTCGCTCACAAAGGAGACCAAGTTAAACTGCACAAGCTACTGAGGACAACTGACTAGTCTTCCTGGAGACACCATGATACAGTCCGTCCGCTCTCTATCTGTCCCGTCAGCTTGACGACAAGAAAGCGTAAATAGTCGATATCTGTAAAGTGACTGTAGCTAAACCGAAAGCTATAGAACGGCAGATGAGCCCATGATGAAATATAAAGTCGAAAATAGAACTCTTTCGTTACCTTTCAAATATTCCGCCATGTTTTCCACACAGCCGCCAAAATAGGAAAGCTCACACTGGTGGGAAGGATCCTGCAGCAGAATGAACTGGAGCGGCTGCTGATTGGTCGAGCGTCATTTGTCAGCCCTCTCATTGGCTCAAAGGGAGTCAGGAGGGTGGCCGGAAGACAATAGCTGTCGTACAAGCTACTCATATTCACCAAGAAGTTACGAAGTTGGCGTAGTTGTGAAAGTACACCCGCTGTGGCACACCACTAGAGACCCGGATGTGTAGTTCATATCCTCCATCCTGTTGACCAGTGCCTTTAAATGGTCACAGAGTTACAATACGTGTCAGACATTTCTTTAACCTATCACGTGTGAATATAAACTTAAATTAAATCCATGTTAATTTTATATGAAAAACATGATATATGTGTTTGTAAAGAGGAATAAAGAGGAATCTTAATCTTAAATTGCTTTAAGTGAGTATGGATTATAACACATATTTGTGATCCTATTTTTCATTTGTAAACAGGGCTAGATATCACAGGGAGACAGGGGCGTCTGGACCCCCTATCCTGGGAATAACAGAGAGGTGTCCCCTGCCTTAAAACTGCAGATATAGCTATACAATTGTACAGAGACACACACATTCTTTCTCTCTCTCAGAGCAATGTGATCTCAGTGGTGTCTGGCCTCCTGTAAGTCGCAGCTCTGTCATAGTCAACAAAAAAGGAAGGATGTGTCAGACATGTTTTAAATCCACCACCCAAAGAATAAAACAGATTTACATTTAAGCAGACTGCATTTCGTTTGCTGTTTTACCTCACTGTTGAATCTTAAATTCAACCTGGGCCGCCATTTGGTTTGTTACATTTGTACTTTGTTACAGTACATTAACTTTTATTAAAACATGTACAATGGCTGCCATGGTGGATTTTGTTTATGATTAATTAAAGAAATGAGGACTTAATTACATTTTTTTTTTTTAAGATGTAACTATAGCAAACACTATATTAATATATGTTCAGTGTCTTGTAGGCTTCATAATATTTTGGACTTTTACACATTGACAGGAAAATATAAGATGTTTGCTCCTTCCATAAAACTGTTGTTGCTGCGATCCTTTATATCGATCTGAATTACAGAGCTTTTATTCAGTTGTGAACTTGGGTCTGAAGATTGTGTTGATGTTTAACAGATCTCTGAAATAGTCAAAATTAAATGTATGAGTTCAGTAAATCATTCAAACTTATACATTAGCCACACTCGTGAACAGTAATAAAGCAATTCAGTTTTATTAAATGAATTAAATTGACTCTAAAACCTTCACTGTAGATAAACCAGGAATGATGAACTCAGCATCATAGAATGTTTATAAAAAAGCTCTGCCCCAGAGCATTAACACAGGACAAGAGAACATAACAGTCACTGTAATCTGGAACTTTTTGAAAGCAACACTGTTGCTGTATAATATATAATTTGTTGTGTATGGAACAATTTTCAAACCCGAAATCTATTTTTTTTAAGTTAAATTATTTGTATTCTATTCTCATTTTTTTCGACGGAGGTAGGAATACTCAAGTCTAAAGCTGTGTTTAAATGAGGTTCACTCCAAGCCTTTGTAGATCAAGCAGGTACAATGTTGCAGATAGATAGAGGAAGGCACTGAACAAGGCCCAGGATACAAGGCCATCAAATCTTTAGTTTAACCTTCAAGTTGTGTTGTGTTTTATACAAAACTAAATAATAGTAACAATCCATAACCAAAATACATATAGGGATTTTTGAGATCTGCAAGCAGCAACATCTCTTGACTTTTATATAAAAGAGACCAAGTGATGAACATTGTATAGCAGTATGCAGTGTAACAGTTTGATGTAGATGTGAGCTGAGAGGTATTTGTGAATGCTCACCATGTGAGAATCAACAAACTCACATAATTTAGTATTAGGGAGAGATGTGGTTCAGTAACTTGTGGCCCTGTTTATTACAGTTCTCCAGGGTCCTCGGGGCCACTCACACTACCAGCCATGAAAAACGTAGTGGCCAATCAGCTATGCCTTATTCTGTGTTTTCTTTAAGGTCTTCCATAGTTAGTCAAATGGTTGTAACATCTTTACATTCCTCATAGTTCATATCAGCTCTGACAGTAATGTGTCACATCTACACCTGGCTCCTCTGCAAACCTGGCCTCCAGTGGATCTGGTCTGCCTGGATGATGACCTCTGGCCTGAAGAAAGGGAAAACCATCTAGAGGTGCATGCTCTATCCTGCACAGGATGTCCTCACTGTCACCGTTGTAACTGGGATCGGAGGCACTGACAAGATAACGGCCAAGTTTGTGCTGCATCATCACGTCATCTGTTTGAAAAGCTTTTTCTACCTGCTGAACATTGAGGGACCGCTCCACATCCTCCAACATGCTCTGCTCCACCTTACGGTAACTGTTGCGGGCATCTCCACAATCACACCATAGTGGGAGATCATTAGTTGGACCGATATCAAAAGAGACAGGTCTGAGCTGAAAAATTCAGTTCTTGTGAATTTTATAAATTCATTATCTCCTTTGTTGGACCATGCTATAAACCATGAGCTTTGAGTTTAGTGATTGCCTACATTAACAGAAATGCCTCCCCAGAGTAAGAGACAGACAAATCATACTTTGTAAAGATGTAAATTTTGTAATCACCCTTTTCAAAAATGTATGTATCTGTTGTGTGAATGAATGTATAAAGAAGTATTGCATGTGTCAATAAACATGTGAATACCCAAAGTCAAGAACATTGTACTAATGTGTACAAATATTAGATGTTCATATACTGTACATGTATAACATAATCTTTAAAATTGTCTCTATGTACTTCTTTAATTGCACCTGTACACCAAATGTGGCCAATGAGTTTTCTTTGTTCTTTTGATACTTTGTCAGTTGTCAAACAGTGAGGAAGAGACATGTAATCTCGATAAAGTTAGAATAATGTAACATGAACTCTGTTGCATTCAGATAGCTATGAATTTGTAGGTGTTTTTTCCCATCAGCAAAAGTTCTGTCCCCAAACCACAACTTCCATGACTAACCCTGCAGACTGCGGAACCTGCGGACAGGTTATTTGCAATTCTGTCAGTGTAAACGAGAATCAAGCTTCTGCTCTTTAATTTATTATTTATATCATATAACATCAATAAAATGCTGACTGTTGACTTTTTGATCACCGAAACGTGGTAAGCACTATCGCCTAACATGAAGAAGGTTCTAGGTATGACCTCCACCACAGTCTCTCTGTAAGCCCTCAGTGTTTCAAATGACCACATCTGCAGTCAAAGACATTTCTGTCCACACTGGAACTGAGGTGAAAACTTTCATTTCTCCTCCAGACTGCATCTAACCCCCTCCCAGATTCCTCTATCAAGTCGAAGTCTTGACAGTGCACACTCCTTGAAGACCTGTAATGATCTGCACTCAGTGCCTGAGAAAGTTAAAACCCATCTATCTCACCTCCACACCGCTGGTCATGACTTGTCTGTTGTGAAAAATTAGTCACAAAAGTTGTTGAACACAGTTTCTTTTCTGCAACTGTTTCAGCTGTTGTTAGATGATCTGACAAAAAATGTCATCTGATTTCGTGTTTATAGAATTCTATATTTGTCACCCTAAAGCCAGATAATATAATCAATAATATTTTGATATAAATATGCTTAAAAATAAACAATCCCGGACTATAGTTTGGCTACAAAATAATCAGGAGGAGAATAAGCTCAGAGCCAGGCCTTGATAAATGATTCACATCACCACAGTTGTACTGTTCATCAGTCCACAGGACCAGAGTAAAAAAGAGTAGGATACTGGGAACAACAGACAGCTATAGCACTGCAGCCATCATCCAGCCACGGCTGCTGCGAAAGACAGGAGGGGAAGTTTGACATGTTATCAGCATATCAACCGCACACATGCAAGTGAGAGCACTTAAAAACTCAAATACACGAGAAAACAGAAGAAACCTTTAAAAATAAATTCATGCACATGCACTTCATTTTATATTGTGAGCATTTGTTACTTGCCCCAAGTTGATGCAGGTATATAACTGTAGCAACATCCACTAAAACAAACAACCTGCCTCTTCAGTGCTTCAAAAGAAGATGATGATGATGATGTCTCAAAAATATTTTACTCTTTACTGATTAATGCAGTTCAAGTGTGTTGCTCAGATGTTTATCAGGTTTGTACCTGTTGATGGCCACCACTGGTAGACAGCAGCAGCAGCAGGGGAAAGGATCTGGAGACACCTGCTGTCCAGACAAAGCAGCCAACAAACAAGCTTTCCCTCCAAAGAAGTCTGTGATCAGCTCAATGAACTTGAGCAAGGTGATGGAGGCATACCTGCCCACACATACACATTCAGAGACTCTGCAGGACCAGTGTACAACAGATGTGATTACAGTTTATGTCAAGACTGATTCACTCACAGTGAAGCAATGAAATTACATAGCAAGGATGAACATGGCACATACAGTGCTATAAGGGAAGAGAAGGAGAAAACCTAGGTTAAAAAGAACATTCTAAGATTCCGACACTTGGAATAAAGAAATTCAGCTACTTGATATTTTCAGAAGTTATTGAATTTTCTGAGTGGTTGAATAATGCCGGGTACATTCCTAATATCCACAGGTAGAGCTGTTTTCGTCTGGATGAGGGGATGTGGTGCAGGATGAAGCCCACTTCCTCCAGAAATACCCCCAGTAAAATGAGAGCGAGGCCAGCCAGGATGAGGAAGAGCCACAAGTCATCTTCAGTGGCTGAAAAAAAACTTAAAGTCTGATCACAAAATCACAGGAGAGTACTAGAGCCAGGACGAAATAGAAATAAGGAAGATTTTTTTTATTTTGCATGTAGAGAAGGTGACATTTTGAGAAAAAGGCAAATGTTGAGAATAATGTTGAACAAGGAGAAATATTAAATATGTATATATCAAGAATAAAGTGAATTTCAAGATAAAAGACATTTTTGATCAGCGCATTGACTGCTTTTACAAAATGCGATGTGTAGGTAAATTGGTAAAATTGTCAACAGTCAGAAACAGTTATAGTAACCAGGACATTCTTTCTCTCTTAAGGCATACAACTGTGCAAAAGATGCACCTGTTCATCTGAACAAGCAGTAAAGGGGTCATGACTGACAGTGACTTAAGCTGCTATATGTTCCCTCCCATACTTGTACAACACTGAAATGCATATGTTGTATTTGTAGTTGTTTGGGACAATCCAAAAATAAAGACCAAGACTCTTCTCTGTTGACAGAAACATGTTGTAATAAACTCATAACTTTACAACTGAGGCTCATCAAGTTGATTCTTTTATTCTCCACAGTGAACTCAGACTAAAAATTCAGCTGTCTTTCATTTGACATCAGTGTAGAAGGTTTTGCTTCATCACTCACTAATGTAAAGGACGACTTCTTTTTTTTGTATTGCTTTATTGCAAATATTCTGTTATCACGTTCCATACGTTGGTAAACTTACTTACTTTTTTAACTTTTTTAAATT